CTCGCGCCCATAGTGGCGTCCTGTGGTCCGCTTCATCGCACCGTGGCTGCACGTCTGGAGACATGCTGCAGGAACTGTGGACAAGAAGAGCAGCTCGACTGGACGAGGGGGAAAGTGGGAGGAAGGAGGAGAAGGAGGAGGAGAAGGAGGAGGTAAGTGAGCGTGCGTATGTGTGACAGAGAGACAGCCAGTTAAAGAGCGGGAGAGAGGCTGAAGAAATGGGCAGGCTCGTCTCCTCTGACGCTAATGAGAGTCGTTATTTTCCCTTTTTATTTTAAATTAAGGAAAAACCAGTGGGAGCTTTTAAAGAGCAGTAACTCTGACGCGTGCTTTAAATTGTAAGAGACATTTCACCTACAGATTGTAAACCTATTTCTTGACATATAGATAAGACTCGTGTAGATGTGAGGCGCAGAGAACTGCCTCTGGTGCCGGGAGAAAATTAGTGGTCGTGACCAATTAGGGACCGATTTAAACGGCAGGTTAGTTCTTTTCTAGTGACGCACCAGAGTTGAAGACAGGACTTGGTCTGGGGTTTAGTACTGGAGATCAGGAAAGAAAGCACTCGGTTCTAGGGACCTGGTGTGCAGTGTAGTGGTCTCAAACTCCTGCCCCGGGGACCACCTCCGGCCCACAAATCCACCAAATCTGGCCTGTGACTAGATGTCAGTCATGATTTAGTTTTACTATTGAGATACATTTTTTTTGTTTCAAAATATGATTAAGGAATAATTAGAATAATAATCATCCATTTACACTGAAATTATAAATTTTTAATCATTTCTATAAAAAAATCTGAGTTTCTGTGCTGAGACCCCACTGTAAAGCAAATGATTACATGGCTGCTCAATTTTTTTTTGCAAATGATTACATGGCTGCTCAATTTTAAAAAATTAAAAAAAAAATCACAACTCTAGCACCACGGACAGAGCCAGTCCAAGGCATTAACTCATTTTTGCCATCACTGTACAACAATCTCTGATTTATGTTTACGAGAACACTCCGGCTTCAGTTTGAAACCTTACACCAAGCTCTCTGCGCTCCCGTCTTTCTAGAAATTCTGCAAATTCAATATTTGTCCTTAAAAATCCAATTTATTAACTCCCATGTGTTCAATCCAGCCAGTGGGAGGGAGTCAAATCAATTTGTGAACTACATTGGAGCAATAAATCACCGAGAGTCCCTCTGAATCAGACGCATTTGTAGAAACGGAGGAGAAAGAATGTTAATGTACTTCGTGGTGTAAATTGTTTGTCTTTGTCTTCGTGCTCGGCCTCAGTCTGTCTGTGAACTGACTGTAGATCAACACCTGCTCCACCTGTTTAAACGACGCAGCCCCAGGAGGCACAGTTTCCCCCCTCATCGTCACTGATGTGCCCTTCTCCAGACGTACTCACTCAGGTCCTGTTTGACAGAAAGGACTCTTTGGTCTGACTTACTGCATGGTGTGAACAACTTCATATTTATTTCATACCAATCTGCTATAAACAGGGGAGAGAAAGTGTTACGGCTAAAGTAAATACAAGATGAAGTGAATGTTTTACTGACATCTGCTGGGGGAGGTGATGTCAGAGGAGCAGCTCCCTCCAAGTGTCTCACTCCTAGTGTGTGTGTGTGTGTGTGTGTGAGTGAGTGCGGGAGATTGAAAGACTTTTTCAGCCAAGACACAAAAATCCACACGCGGCTCTTTTTGTTGTTCAATTTAGTAAACTGTATATAACAACTACACACACACACACACACACACACACACACATATATACGGTATAACATACTGTATATGTTATATATTTACACACATGTATAAATATATACATATATAAATATACCTGTACACACAAGAATATAAATATGACTGTGGTAATCAGCTTTGGACATGCTCAAAATACCCTTAAAAGTGCAATGCATGATGGACTTATTTTGAAACCAGAACCCAAAGCAATTTTGAAATTGATCCTTTAATGATAATAATGTGATAATATTTAATGTGTGTTTTGTGGATCTGTGGGTGGATAACGGTTTGACCCCATTGTTGACCCCAGCGCACCAGAGCTTTGGTCCATTCAGAGAACAGTACGCTGACTTATGTCATGTCCACTTTAACACCTCGTCTGTTAGAAGGCCAAGTACTCCAACGAAGCATCAGGTAGAATCAGTTAAAGCTGTTCATGTTGCATTACATTTGCAATGATATTTTAAGCTTGGTTTGAACACTTTTTATTGTCTTGTTTATTTTTAACTCATTGGACTGAATTCATTAACCAGGCTCTCCTGAGAAGTATGAGATTGTATTCTCTGATATATGATGATAAAGTCAGTACTTACAGACCTTCTAGAACTGATTTATACATTCAAAACAATCCCGTTTTTCACTGAGGCGTTAGCAACCTTTTAGTAGCTAAAGCAACAAATATATCCGAGTGAAGCTATAAAAAATAGATCTGCGAAGTTGCAGCGTTTGGCCGTCATGTTTATAAGAGACTCCTTATACTTCAAACGTACAGTATCTTATCTTACAAATGCTGAATGACAGGTTTTAAATTCTAACAAGACATTACTTTCACACATTCTCCCTACAGATAATAAGTGCTGCTTTAACAGTTTGGAACACACCTCAAATATGAGCACAGTGATGGACAAACGCTGTGTCTATAATGACTGTCTGGTAGAAAAAAGGAAAAAAATGAGTTATTGAAGCTTCCTCTCGTCTGTCGTTTCTCTACTTCTTCACATCTTCTATCACTCCATCACCATTAAAACTTTTTTGGGAAACCGAGTCATTAGGGACATGTTTGATGACGTCTTTCTAAACCTTGACTGGCAATTAAAATGAATCGGTTGTAGGAAACCCGCCACATACTGTACTTGAATAATTTAACAATGTTGCTGCAGCAATAAAAACTGGGGAGGTTGCATGCAAAACAGTGCGGCTCCGAGAATAAAGTAAAAACCACAACAGCGATGGAGGAAACAAAAAAACAAAAGATGAAATCATGATTTTCTGCTGCCAGGATTCAATCTTCATTCATGCGAGTGTTAAACAGTAAACTGCTGTGTTATTGACACAGAAAAAAAACATGTATGTCCTCATTATGAATCCCATTTGATGGCCAGGGCCAGGAAACACGCTGTGTGACAGTCTAAACACCCACCACATACTGGAGCTCTCCTCATTTTCACATGACTCACACCATCTTGTGTGCACACAAACTGCAATTTTTCCATGTGTGCGTATGTTTGTCGCTATAAACACACACCTAAATGGCTGGGCGGGGGGTGGATCTTGTGCAGCGTATGCACCTGCCGACGAACACGACAGCCTCAGAATCTGCCTCTGCTGCACTGTAATTAGTGGAAGAAATCACAGTTTTTAAAGGACTCGTAAAAGAGACCTGGTGTTGGTCTGATGCGTCATCCTGTCAGTGTACAAACAGGTGACGCCCAAGAAAACCAGCAAAAAAGTGAATGGCTAAAAGACACCTGCGTTAAAATGTAACAAACGAATAACAGAGAAATGAAAACCAAACCAACAGAGAAATGAAAACCAAGTCACAAACAGTGGGACAAGTTCGTCGTGAAATTGACAAAATTTAGTTAAACTAATTTAAATGTAGGAACAACAAAGCGATATCAATCAAAGGAAATTCTTATTTAGCTAAAATTAAATTTAAAATATGAATAAATACATGTCTCAACACCAGAAAAAACGTCAACTGAAAAATTACTGTGTTGCTTTGTTGTGAAATTGCTAAAAGTTAGAGGAATACAGATTGAACTTAGTAAAGAAACAAATAAAAACAAATACATTAAAATTAAAATAAAAGCAAAGCAACATTTTAATGCAACAGATATCACTGAAGGTTATCCCAGATAAGGCTAAATGGTAAATATAATAAAAGAGAACAAAAAAATACTACTTAATTGACTTCCAAAGTAAAAAATAAATTAAAATAGATAAAGATTTTCAGTACATTTTCAAATTAAATGACTTTGTACTCACCTGTTGTTCCGCCAACCGTTACAACTGGCTGTGAGTAGAATATTTTTGTAATTTTGCTTTACAACAGTGATGAATACTGATGTCATGATGCACCAGGGTTTTTTAATAAGATCTGGACTGCAGGCAGGTCAAAAAATTACATGGGTCTGATTTTAATGTTATGCCCCCGAATTTTCCCGCCGAAAAAACCAGGCAGAGAATGG